GGCTCAGGGGAGAGACGCAGGGAGCTGGCCAAGGCCCAGGGGCCCGAGGCGGAGGAGGCGCGGAAGGCGTGGGACAGGTAACACAGACAGCGCCGCAAGCGGGAAGCGAAGGCAAGGCAGCGGGGATGCACGTGCGCCGCGGCCAGAGCAGCAGACCCCCCCCCGTGCCATCCCACTGCACGTGCGGTGCGGCGGAGGCGACAGGAATGAGGAGTGCAGCGAGGCAGGCCTCAGGCATGGCTCGGGCGCGGCCGGGCGACCTCATGGACATGCCCGGTCCCCGGCTGTGGGAAGTGGTACTCGACAAAGCGCTGGCGCAGCATGAAGACCAGGCGCATGAGGATCAAGCACCCAGACGTGCCACAGTCGGAACACAGCCTGAAGCCGAAGCCCAAGACGGCCCAGTCGTTGAGGAAGGCTCGCCGGCGGGCCGACGCGAGGGCGGCGGCCGAGGCGGCGGGCCGCCCCGCGGCGCCAGGCGCCGCCGGCTCTTGAAGCGCAGGGAAGGGCGGCGGCCCTGAGTGCCCCCTGGCCGCCCGTGCAGCCCTCCATCCGGGGAGGCGCAGGCATGCTCTGGGTCTGGTCGGCGAACGTCGGCCTCGGCAGCGCATCTGGAAGGTGGTGGGCGAGGCCCTCGAGGCCAACGCGGACGTCATCCTCATCCAGGAGCGCGGCATGGACCAGGCGAGGTCCAGCAGCTTCAGGGACGGCATGTGGGCCCGGGGCCTGCGTGCCTGCTCCGCTGGCGGCCACCAGCGGGAGGACGGGAGAGCGGGAGGCGGCCTCGTGACCCTGGTCACGCGCAGCCGGCAGGTCGACAGGGTGCAGCGGGCCATCGTGGCCGGCGACTGGAACCTCCCGCACGACGAGGTCTCCATGCCCAGCGAGTGGCACACCCTCTACCACCCCAGGCACGAGGACGGAGCGCCCATGCCCACCAGATGGGACGGCAAGAAAACGATCGACTACGCCATCGGCTACGGGATCGACGGCACCACGTGTACGGTGAGGGACCTCGTGGCTTCCGACCACAAGGTCATCAGCTACGGCGTGCCCACGACCACAACCATCGTGGAGGAGAAGCGGGTGCACCAACACGCGGACGTCGCCCGGCCGAGCCAAACGAGCATGGAGACGTGGATGCGCATCACCACCGAGCTCTGGGGCCCGCACGAGTCCCGGTTCCAGCAACACCCGTGCCCCCACGAGCCGGACTCCGACGAGGCCCAGGCCTGGGTCGACGACAGGTGGAAGGACATGGAGACCACAATGCTAAAGGTCATGAAGCAGGCCGAGGACATGACCAACGAGATGGACGACGAGCTGCGTCCAGGGCAGGAGGAAGAGGATGAGGAGGAGCAGGAGGAGGAGGAGGAGGAGGAGGAGGGAGGAGGAGGCGGAGGAGGAGGAGGAGGAGGAGGAGGAGGAGGAGGAGGAGGAGGAGGAGGAGGGAGGAGGAGGGAGGAGGAGGCGGAGGAGGCTGGGCAGGGGCAGGCACACCCTGGCTGGGCAACAGCTGTCACAGGCAGCCCTTGCCGGCGCGCAGCTGACTTCAGGGGCATCGGCACCGCAGTCGAGCGGGAAGGGCCCGGGCGAGCCTCGACCACCACCAGGCGGCGAGGACTGGCGCTCAAGCGCACGACGGGCACGAACAACACAACGACACCGGCCCACGCGGCCCACACCGAGAGGAGCCACGGAGCACGGCGCTGTGCGAGCACGCTCGGGCGGCTCCGGCGGCTCCTCTGGCTGGAGGAGCACGGGGCCGGGCGAGGCAGGGAGGCGCAGACCCTGCGGGACCATCTGGGGCGAACGTGGGCAGGCTTTGATGGCGACGTCGGGAACAGCGACCTCCCAGCTGGAGAGTATCCGATAGTATCCGCCACGCGCGAGCTCAGACGGCCGGCTGCGAGCAGACCCTGCGGGACATCGACAGACGAAGACAGGAAGGAGAGGATCCGGGCGTGGCGCAAGAGGCTCCGCGGCGACCCCGAGGCCCAGCACAGCTACATCCGAGGACGGATCCCCACGGGGAGCGCAGTACAGGCGGCAGACACCGACAGCAGCGCCGGCACCACTAGCACCACCACCATGGAGGCGCTGGGCCTGCTCGTCCAGAGGTGGCGGAAAGTGTGGGACAGGGCCACGCCGCCGAGGCAGGAATGGGAGCGGGAGCTCACGACCTGGCTGCAGGACTGCACCGCGACCGCCTGGGACCCGCTCCACAGGCTCGACGTCCAGGCCGCCCTGCAGGCCCAGGCAGGCACGGCCGCGGGGCCCGACGGGTGGTCGGGAGGGGAAGGGGCCTCGGCCGAATTCGCCTTGGATGCCATGGTCGATTTCTACAACACCTGCGAGGCGCTGGCGCGCCTGCCGGCGCAGCGGGCGGCGCTCAAGGAGTCCCACCTGCCCAAAGCAGAGCCGCCGCCAGAGACGCCCGGGGCACTGAGGGACGACAAGTTCCGGCCCATCAGCGTGGCATCAAGCTGGTACCGAGCATGGGCAAGCGCCCTCTGCCGCAGCGCCTCGTTCAGGAGGTGGCAGAAGCAATGGTGGGACGACGACGCGGCGGGAGGCGTCAAGGGGAAGGAGGCAGCGGACGCGACGACGGCGCTCATCACCGGCGTGGGCACCGGGGACTACCTGGCGTCCTGGGACTTCAGCCTTGCCTTCGAAATGTGCCACCCCCAAACGGCCACGTTCGCCATGGATCGGGTCGGCCTCCCGGGCAACCTGCGCTGCATGCTGGGGCGCCAGTGGGGCAGCCAACAACCATGGATGACGTACGGCGGGTGCTGCCACCCACAGCCGCAGCACGTCGACAGCTCTCTCCCCCAGGGAGATCCCTGGTCCCTGGTGGCCATGTGCTGTGTGCTCATGGGGCCACTCCGGCAGGTAAAGGTCAAGGCCACTGCGGTGAAGTGCAAGCTCTCCATCGACGACCAGGCCTGGACCTCCAGCTCGCTGGCCGCCATGATGCGCGCCGCCGTCATCTGGCGGCGCTGGAGCGCCATCTTGGGCCTCCGGGAAAACGCCGCCAAGGAGCAGTGGATGCACCGGCAGCCCTCCCACCGGCGGCGGCTGGCCGAGGCCAGCGTGCCCCAGGAAAGCGTCAAGGATTCGGCCACCATAGTGGGGACCAAGATGACTGGCGGCGCCAGCCGCCCTCCGAGCGACAAGGAGAAGCAGCGGTGGAACAAGGCCACGGCCCAGGTACGTGCAGCGGCGCGGCTCCCCATCGACTTCGCCTCCAGGGTGCGGGTCGTCCAGGGAAGGCCCCTCAGCTCCGCAGAGTACGGGTGGCTGGAGCAACCGCCCCAGAAGCAGGACTGCGACCAGCTCCTCGTCCGGGTCTGGGACGCGCTGGATTCACCCCGCCAGTCGGCGGTGCCGCTCCGCCTGCCGGTGATAAGGCACAGGACCGACCCCCGCTACCGCGCCCAGCAGCACGCGGTGGCGTCGATCCTCAGAGCAAGAAGGGCCCCGCCGCCCTCCTCGACATCCCGTGGGCCGCAGGCAAGAATGGCTACGCCAGGCTGCTGTCCAAGCACCTGGAATGGACGGGCTGGAAGCCCCAGCAGCACCACCCCTGGACGTGGAGGCACGACGGCATCGACAGGGACCAGTCGATCGACCCCGGCAGCCAGCACTGTCACGCGCCAGGGCTAGCAGAACACCTTCTCCGCGAGGCCTGGCGCGACACCCAGTATCAGGCCTGGCGGAGGTCAGGCCGGCGCGACGCGGCCAGCCCAGGCACGCCACGCCAGGTCTCCAACGACCGCGTCAAGGCCATGAGGCCATGGTGGGCCTCGCCGAGGAAAATCTGCGGAGGTCGCTACGACTCTTCGCAGGGGCCGTCGTATCCCCGGCGGCGGTCGCCGCAGCAGCAGCGGCGCGGGGTGGTGAGGAGGCGCCCCTCCTCCCCCCGCACCCCTTCGGCGGTCAGGACCACGGGACCCTTGATCACGTGATGTGGAGGTGCCAATGCCCGGCGATCCGCGCCGTCCGCCCGCCGGGCGGGCCCCGCGACGCGCTGCAGGCCCGGCTCTTCTGGCCCACGGGGATCAAGCAGAGGGCCAGCCTGGACCGGGACATCTGGAACTGTGGCACGATGATGGACCGCGTCATCCTGCGCACTGGGTACGACCGCGCCACCCCCGAGGAGGCGACCGCCAGCTACCACACCAGCATGATGATGGTCCAGGTCATCATGCGCACCTTCACGACGGCGTCACCTCTGGTGAGGACCACGTCATCCTGCGCAGTGGGCACAACGGCGTCACCCTGGAGGAGGTGATCGACAACTACGACACCACATGGCACAGGGCCCCGGGATCCTCACAAATGCTCGAGACAACTTTGGGTACGCGCTGGCCTGAGGGCCGGCACATCGTGCCGGGATCATCCAGACGACTCGGCACGCCAACAATCTGTCTTGGCCGATTCGAAGCTGAATTGGACCGTCTTGCCGCCCCCCAGAAACCCGTTCGGGTAGTCGGGGCGTCTCCGAAAGCACCCTTGAGCTGTTTCAAGCGCTTCCTGGGGCGCTCTTGGGCTGCTTCGGGGCCCTCTGAAGGCTCTGCGGAGGAAGGCTAAACCTGCGTTTGCAGAGAGAGAGAGAGCACGCCGAAGAAAGCCCTGCAGCGCAGTGTCCCCCCCGCCGTCAGGAGGGCGCCACCAAGTGCCGAGGACGGTGAGCCGAGCCCCGCCTGCGCTTAACTGGAACCTTGCCACGCTTAGGGGGGGGGAGGAGGAGGAGGAGGAGGAGAAGGAGAAGGAGGACGAGGTGGAGGAGGAGGAGGAAGAGGATGAGGATGAGGATGAGGATGAGGATGAGGATGAGGATGAGGATGAGAGGAGGAGGAGGAGGAGGAGGAGGAGGAGGAGGAGGAGGAGGAGGAGGAGGAGGAGGAGGAGGAAGAGGAGGAAGGGGGTCCTTGTCTTTGTGCAATATTCGGCCTGTGCACTTGAGGACACTTTCGCACGACGCCAGAAAGGCGTCACTGTGCTGTGCAGTGCGCGTTGGCTCGCCAGGGCAGCGCCCGCGCCAGCAGGTGGCGGCGTCCGGCCCCGCATGCCAATAATCCTTCACCGCCGCTGTCACTTTCCAGGCTGCCGCACAGACGGCGCCTCGCATGGCCGCGCTGCCGGGTCTTCCAGAAGCCGCCTTCGACATCCGGGGGGAAGAACAATGTGCCGCTCCTGGCGTGCCGTGGCCACAACTGCCCCACAGCTTGCGACTCGCGCGCCGTCGCCGCAAGGGCAATGCTGCAGGTCTCTCCTCCACACCGCGTGCCTCCCTGCGGAAGCAGCCGCGTCATCAAGCATGCGGTGGTAGGACTCTCGCCCACGCGTCCCGCCAAGGAGCACAGCGCGGCCAAGAAGCCATCGTTCGGACCAATAACACATCGCTGCCGGGGGGGCGCCGCAAAGCCTCGGCTGGGAGATGCAGCGTTCGCCAAAAGAGAACCTTCGACTGCATACCCGTTTCCTTCTGGTGCCACACATGCATGCCTCTCATTCACTGGTGCCCGAACAATCCGTGGCACACGGGCCTCCGAGATAAATCCTGGCCTCTCGCTGCGACCACCAGGTTCCGACTACAGTGCCGAAGGGCACCCCACGGGGTACACGTTGTAAGCATAACAATGGGACTCAAGTCCTCTTGGAGCCTCTCTTGGAACCTTTCGCTGGCCTCTCTTTAGCCTCCCAGGCCTCTTAATACCGCTTCGGCAGTCCTGAGATAGGCCTTCGGTATTCTTCATCAACCTCGAAGCCAGCCCTCTTGGTGCAAGACCCTCAAACGCACTCTCGACCATACTTCGGGCCCAAATCGCTGCTGCGCTTACTCCAGTTTGGCATCTTCCGCCGCTTCGGCCTTTCCTCGCACCTCGTGGGGCTTCCCTTGGGGCCTCACGCGCGTTTCTTCCAGTCTCGCGGGGCCTTTCGGACAGTCCCAAAGCCTTCTGAGCCGACTTTGTTTCGGACCCTCTGGGGTCGTCTGGGAACTGTCTGAAGGCCCAGGAGGCCGACTCCATAAACTACAGGGGCCCACTCATGCGATACTGAAAAACTATTTCGGGTACGCCGGGCAACGCAGCCTTTGATGTTGCTTGCTGTCGTCTTCGCCTACAAGCTGCGGCTTAGGGTTGTGTGCTGCTGCTGCTACTTGCTGCTGCGCATTGCTGGTTGCGACCTTTTGCCGCTTTGTGCTGCTGCTCGTTGCCGCGTTTTTTTTTCATTGTCCTGAGGCGGCGCACACCAATTTCTACCTCTAAAATATTGCAATCATGCGCCAAGTAGAATATCGCACACAAGCGCCTACTTGCTGAAGCTTCAGCCCTGCACGCCAGTCCTTTGCAGGCGTACCTTCATGCAGCTCGGATGGTCCCAAGTGATGGCCGAAACCTGCTTCTACCTTCCCACCCCAACGCCCATAGCCAACACTTGAGAGAACATGAGACGCCCAACCAAGTCACGTGCTCTGTATGTATGCAACTTTTGTTGGTGAAAACAAGTCGCCAGGACACGTAACGTTGGACTTGTGAACATTAGCATACACAGGCCACGTGTGATGTCCAGCGTCTTTGACTCGCAGGAAATACACTACAGGCGTACAGGAGGCTCTAATTATACGTGGCTCACGACTTCGAGTCGCCGAGCGCGCCGTGCCAGGGTCCCAGGCGAGAACATCGATGTTGAATACGAAGCACAAAGAGAAACCAGATCAGGTGCAGAGAATCGCTGCACCAAACATGTAGGCGTTACGCGTCACATATGAGGCAACGCGCACCCGAATGCGGAAAACGAATCGGCTGCCCGAGGCAGGCCTTGCAGTGAGCACCGGGCGGCGGTTGGCATGATGACTACAGGCCAGAAGGCAGTCGTGCCGACGGGAAGCGAATCCACGCGGGGTGCACTTGTTCGCACTCGCAACGCCCATTCGCACTGGCAGCGCCCTTACTGGGACATCCTAAGCCTAGGCGCCGCCCTCAAGGCAATGGTGGGTGGGGCGGCCCGCCCAGGTTGTTCTTGACCGTGTTCCAGCAGTTCATCCACTCGTTGCTGCCCTTGAACGGGTGGAATGCTGCGGCCCATCCGTCGTTGCAGTCGACCCCGTGGCAAACACCGTCGCTGATGATGGAGAGATCGTTCGTCGAGCCAACGCCCAGGTGGAGAAAGCATTTGTCAAGGAAGAAGTCTTCCCCCCACGAGTACCAATCCAGCTCGTTCCTGCAGCGATACCTGCCCTCCTTGTAGACCTGGAGGCCTCCCCGGGAGATCGTCTCCAACGACCCGAACATCAATTGCCAAGTTGCCCCCTCGCAATTCCTGACGAACACATTGGAACCCGTCTTGTCCCTCACGTGGTCCCTCACCCTGTCTGGCACGACGACGGCGTCCGGGTCCACCTTGATGGCCCAGTCGAAATCCAGGACGAGGGTCCGATCCAAGATCGTATCCCAAGCGTTCATGAACAGCTGCGCGTTTCCCGCAGTGCCGTCCTTCGAGACACCCACGGGGGCGCCAGGGAAGCTCAGCGTGTTCAACTCGCCGATGCGCCCTCCTGGGCCCCAGCCGATGCTCCACTCCTCCTCGCTCACCACCGCGAAGCCGTCGCAGCCGAAGATGCCCGCGCCTGCCGCGAGCTGCGCCCTCATCACGTCGGCCTCGTAGCTCCACTGGCGGGAGAGCGACCAGCAGAACAGCGAGGGGTCGCTCCGCGGGAAGGCCCGGCAGGGCCTCGGGCACTCGGTCTCGTTGGCGTGCTCCCAGAGGTACTTCTGGAAATCCGCCGACCCCTTGGGTTTCCTCGGCGTGTGAGATGCTCCCCCCTCCCCAAACCTCTCCCCCTGGGAGTCTGGCCTGGTCGATTTGGGCAGGGGGGGGTCGCGTCACGTGGGGCGCCGAGGGCCCCCAAGCGGGCCAACAGGGCACGAGGCCCTCGGGGGCGGTCCGAGCGGGCCACGAGCCGCCGACGGATCGATCGAACACGCCCACGCTGACCTCCAGACGGCTCAGGAGGCCCCCCAAACGCCCCAAGAAACACTCGAGAGACGTCCCAAGACGGCCTCAAAGAGCAACACTCGCCCCATTTCCATCGGACATCCTGAAGGTTTAGCACATTCGCCTCTTCAGCGATCAGCACGTCTAAGACAGCCCAAGGAGCCTCCTGGGTCGCCCCAAGGCGGCCCACGAACCCCCCAAGAGATGGCTCCCATATGGTTCAAGAGGGCCCCAAGGCCGCCCCAAAAACCATGGAAAGAAAACAAGCCAGGAGGTCACCAAAAGGCTCTGGACGGTCGAAGAGGGCCACGAGCCGCCGAAAGATCGATCGAAAACGCCCACGCTGGCCCCCCGACGGCTCAAGAGGCACCAGCGACGCTCCAAAAAACCCAGAAGAAGCGTCCCAAGACGGCTTCAAAAATCAAGCGTCGCCCCATTTCCATAGGAATACCTATTTTTTCGGCACGTTCGCCTCGTCTGCGGTCGCCGCGTCGTCCAATACAGCCCAAAAAGCCTCCTGGGTCGTCCCAAGACCTAAGACAACTCAACGAAACCCTCAAAACCGGCCAAGAAGGCACAAAGAGGGCCTTTGGACGATCCAAGAGGGCCACGAGCCGCCGAAAGATCGATCGACAAAAACCCAAGCTTGCCTCCAGACGGCCCAAAAAGTCCCCAAGACCCCCCAAGAGGCCTTCGAGAGGCGTCCCAAGACGGCCTCAAATACCAACAATCGCCCCACTCACATCAGATTATCCTGGCGAAGGACCCAACCATATGCAGATGTGAGTGCCGCAGTTGTGAATATCTTCTTCGGTGGCGCTCCCTATGGGGCGCCGAAGCGTACGAAGGCGTGCCGACTTGTTGTGCGGCGTAGCCTCTGCAGGGGGCTTCCGTGGGAACCCCGACGGCAGCGCCCGCGCGCCGCGACGCCCATTTCGGCACGCCCCGCGCGAGGATCGCGCCCGCTTCCTCCCCTCCTTTTCCTTCTTCTCTGCCCGCGCGCTCCAAAGTCCAAGGTTGCGGGCGCGGCGCAAGGCGGGGCCCTCGCGACGCGTGCAGGTCGCCCCGAAGGGGTCACAGTGACGCGCGCGGTTTGTACGCTGTGTGGAACAAAGATTGCTTGCTGGCTAACTGATAGCGCGCGCGGCTCTGGCCGCCGGGCGGAGCGACGACGGGCGAGCGAGGCGCTGGACAGAGCGCAGCGCAGAGTTCGCGCGACGCGCGCTGATCGCACCGAGAGGGTCCCAGCGACGCGCGCAGGGCGTCCGCGGCGCGAGGCCAAACAGTTGGACAGCCGAGAGAAGGCGCGGCTGCGGCGGGCCTCTCCTCAGGTCAGGCCTCGCGGATAAACTCGGTGAAACCAAGCTCACTGGCGAGGGCCGTGGCTTCCCTCCTGCGCCGCTTCGTGCGCGCCGCAAACTGCTCCAGCTGCTTACGCAAGCCCTCCGGCGGCCCGGCCAGGAACAACTCGATGCGCCCGCATGAGCAGGAGGTCCTCGTGGCGCGTGGCGCGCGAGAGCAGCGCGTAGAGCTCCAGCCACCAGTCGTCGTCCTCCTTCTTGCCGTTCCCGACCTCGTGGCGGCCGCAGTCCAGGATCACGCCTGGGAGACGTCGGCCGCGGGAGCAGTGCGCCGGGCAGCCGACTGGGACCTTCAGTGGAGCTCCCTATGGGGCCACGAAATGTGTGAGGGGTGTGCCGACATGGGTGTGCGGGACGCATGCGGGCACACCCACTGGGACCTTCGGTGGAGCTCCCTATGGGGCCGCGAAATGTGTGAGGGGTGTGCCGACATGGGTGTGCGGGACGCATGCGGGCACACCCACTGGGACCTTCGGTGGAGCTCCCTATGAGGCCACGAAGCGTGTGAGGGGTGTGCCGAAATGGGTGTGCGGGACGCATGCGGGCACACCCACTGGGACCTTCGGTGGAGCTCCCTGGGGCCACGACGTGTGAGGGGTGTGTCGTGTGCGGGACGCATGCGGGCTGGGACCTTCGGTGGAGCTCCCTATGGGGCCACGAAACGTGTGAGGGGTGTGCCGACATGGGTGTGCGGGACGCATGCGGGCACACCCACTGGGACCTTCGGTGGAGCTCCCTATGGGGCCACGAAACGTGTGAGGGGTGTGCCGAAATGGGTGTGCGGGACGCATGCGGGCACACCCACTGGGACCTTCGGTGAAGCTCCCTATGGGGCCACGAAACGTGTGAGGGGTGTGCCGAAATTGGTGTGCGGGACGCATGCGGGCACACCCACTGGGACCTTCGGTGGAGCTCCCTATGGGGCCACGAAGCGCGTGAAGGGTGTGCCGAAATGGGTGTGCGGGACGCATGCGGGCACACCCACTGGGACCTTCGGCGGAGCTCCCTATGGGGCCACGAAGCGTGTAATGGGTGTGCCGAAGTGGGTGTGCGGGACGCATGCGGGCGGCGGCACTGGGGCCTTCGGTGGAGCCCCCTATGGGGCCACGAAGCGATGATGATGGTGGGAGGAGGGAAGAGGGAGGAGGGGGAAGAGGAGGAGAGGAGAGGAGAGAAAAACGCGGGGCGACGTCTCTTCAAAACGGGGACCCAACACCAAAGGATGGTTGGGAAAAACGTGCGTTTACAGCACGTTCGCTTGTCGTGCGTTCGCGACGTCCAAGACAGCCCAAGGAGCCCCCTGGGTCGCCCCAGGACGGCCCACGAGGCCCCCAAGAGGGTTCCCATACGGCCCAAGAGGGCCCCCAAACCATCCGAAAAACCATTGAAAGCAGGCAGCCCATCTCCAAGATGCCACCAAAAGGCTGTCTGGACGGTCCGAAGGGGCCACGAGCCGCCGAAAGATCAATCGAAAACGCCCACGCTGGCCCCCCGACGGCCCAAGAGGCCCCAAAGACGCTCCAAGAAGCCTTGAAGAGGCCTCCTAAGACGGCTGCATTTTTAGCACGTTCGCCTCTTCTGCGGTCGCAGCGTCCAATACAGCCCAAGAAGCCTCCTGGGTCGCCCCAAGACGACCCAAGAGGCCCACAAGAGGGCTCTCAAACGACCCAAGAGAGCCCCAAGAAAGCTCAACGAAACCCCCAAAACCGGCCAAGAAGGCACAAAGAGGACCTTTGGACGATCGATCGAACACGCCCAAGTTTGCTTCCAGACGGCCCAAGAAGCCCCCAAGACCCCCCAAGAAGCCTTCGAGAGGCGTACCAAGACTGCCTCAAATAGCAACAATAGCCTTATTGCATCGGAACGCGTGCGTTTGCAGCACATTCGCATTTTGTGCGTTCGCAACGTCCAAGACAGCCCAAGGAGCCTCCTGGGTCGCCCCATGACGGCCCACGAGGCCCCCAAGAGGGCTCCCATACGGTCCAAGAGGGCTCCCAAGGCCGCTGAAGAAGGCCCCAAAGACGGGGCCCAGAGGGGGAGCCCGAACGAACATCTCAAGCCTTCGACCCCAATCCGCCCCCCGGCTGCCCCAAAAAGCCCTCAACACGCTCCCAAGGAGCTTCGAGAGGCCCGAAAAAGCTCCCAAGAGGCTTCTAGCAGGCCCCCTAGCGGTTCAGAAGCTGTTTTCCAAACGCCCCCGAGGCGCCTCCCACGAGACCTCGTCTGCCACCCGCGTGGCTTCAGACCCGCAGCCCAGGCACGGTGGCGAGATGTGCCAAAGGGCGTTCGATAATCATTCTTCTGGTATTTCGACGTATGCCCGCTGTTCGTATACGTGGGTTCTCGCCGGTTATCCTTTGCATGCGCGGCGACCACTGAAAATGTCAGCCACAGATTTCACTTCTGCCAATGCGGGCTGTGCCACGATTGCCGTGGACCCCGGGGGAGTGCTTGGCGGGCACGCGGTTGCTTGTCCAAGAGGGCCCCGACACGGCACATGTCGTGCTTCAAGACGCCCCCGGCAGTTCCAAAACGCCCACCTCATGTCCCCTTCAACCACCTCCCGACAAGCTCTTCCTAGCATCATCCCGAGGAAGCTTTCAAAACGAGTGTAGCTCCTGCGACGAAGGCACTCTCGCGGTCTACACAAAACCAACAAATACGCCCGCAAACAACATGCCACCATACATCTGGGCGTCGGTGGGTTAGGGGAACCAGTCTTCCAAATACCTTCTGCCCCTTCGGAAAATGATTTACCCCTGCTCCATATGCATAGACACTTGGCCACTCGACCGACGACCGACCCGAGTCAAAGACAACACCCCCAACCATCCTGGTCATCACGATAATTACGAGACAACGTGTATTTTGCGACATGGCATGGATCATCTTCGGGTGTCCCACCCTCGCTGTGCATTGGTTTGTTACACGGCAGCAGGGGACATCATATCACCTCGTGTGTACAGGCCCACCATCCCTCTCCGAAGATAACGCTGCCGTGTGAACGAGGCAGCAAAATCCCCCGACCAATTGGAGTGTCCTCAGCGCGTGAGATGCTGACTCCCCTTCCGACTCCTCCCCCTGTACCCTGGTCCGGTTGATTTGGAGGGATGGGGGTCCGCCCGCATCCGACGGGCCTGGCGCCGACGCATTCTGGGAGGATAGTGGCCCGCACGACGAGCCAAGATGGCCACAAAGAGGCCCCCACGACAGTCCAAGGGGGCCCCCAGTCGCCGAGAGGTCCTCCAGGACGGCCAACTAGCCTCCAGACGGTCCGAAACGCTCACCAAACGCCCTCAGAGACCTGCAAGAGCCCTCCCAAAAGGGCCCCACGAGGCAACATTCATTGATTTGCTATCCGTTCTTGGCAGATTTTAGCGTTCTCGCCTTTTCGGTTTCCCGACGCTCCACGACGACCCAATAGGCTCCCAAGATCCCCCGCTTCAGAGAAGGCCCCTAAACAAACAAAGAGGTCCCCCACACAGCCCCACAGACGGCCTTAAAGAAGCTCCACGAGGCCCCCCATAGGCCCCCATGCGGCGCCCCCAATAAGCACCAAGACGCCCGCGAAAGGTGCCCAAGAGGCGCTCACAAGCAACACACCACGACCGCCCGTTCCCCAAGGGGTCGGCGGTGTGGCGTAAGCCCACGAATCGTACGTGGACGAATCCTCCGTTAAGCTCGGGTACCATTCTGGGTGCTCCCGGATACCAGTCCCCCTTGCGAACACCAAGCTCGAGTAGCAATGGCTGTCAATCGGCACCACCTGACACTCGCAAGCGCCCATGCACTTGCTCTTGCTCTCGTTCTCGTGCAGCCAGCTCTGAACGTCCTCGAAAGAAGACCACAACGAGAGGCCGTCGCGGCTGTCCGGGTTCTCCCGCATGTCGTACAAAACATGCAGGACCTCCTTGTAGCAGTCGTCGCCCTCCTCCAGCACCACGCATGGGGTTGTCGTCGTGGTGGTCGTGCTAGTGGTTGTGGTAGTGGTGGTCTGGGTCACAGTCTCGGTGGTCGTGGTGGTCTCGGTTGTAGTCCCAGTGGTCTCGGTTCCAGTGACGAGAAACGGCACCACTCGAGTCCAGCCGTCCCACCGCTTCACGTCGTCCAAGCGTGCCTCCGCCCTGCACAGCGGGCTGTCGCAGGGCGAGCCCATGACGTCGCCCCTGGTCGAGGCGGCCCCTGCGCCGCTCCCTGCCGCGCTCTGCCCGCTCACCAGGGGAGCAGAGAGCCCGCGGCTCCTCGCGGAGGGGCCCCCTCGACCGTCGTCCATGGCCAGCCAGACTCCAGCAGCTCCCGAAACAGAAACGACGATCAGCGCCGTCACACCCGCGCAGACGAGGCAGGGAGACGTGCCGAGGCATCGCCTGCGGGTGGGGGCGCTGGCTTCGTTTCTGAGCAGCGCCCTGGCCTCGGCGTGGGCCGTGCTGCCCTCCTCGGCGGCCTGCAGCAGCTCCTCCCTGGCGTCCTCGAAGTCCTGCAGTGTCGGACCTGCGAGTTCCTTGGACGTCTCCATAGCCCTGGCTCGATTTGGGCAATCGCCTGGCAATTACGTGTGAGGCAACTCCCACGCAAGGCACCGCGAGGACCTCGCCGCAAAGGCGAGCCCCTCAGCCAAGACTTGAGCCGAAATGGCTACGGTGCTGCTTGGGCCTTCTTCGAGCTTCTCGGGGCCGGTTGGACACATTCGGAGCCTTCCGAAGCAGCTTGGGACCCTCTAGAGCCGCCTGAAGGGTATCGCAGGAACCTCCTGGACGATCGTTGGGGGGCTCTTGGATGCCTCATGAAGATCTATTGAGGGCCTAGGCGACCCTTTTCGGTCGTCTTGGGGCGGCTTGGGCCCTTTTGTGGGCCCTTTCGGGGTGCCTATACGACGTCTTGGGCCGTCTCGAGGCCCTCGTGGGCCAGCAGCCCTCTTGGACATTCTTGGAGGTTTATTCGGGCCCTCTTGGGCCGTTTCGGGCGATTCTTGAGGCCCTCTTGTGCAGTCTTGAAGCTCCCTGAAACCATCTCGAACACATGTTGAGACGAGAAGGCGAACGAGCCAATCTTCAGAGATCTCTCGCGTTAGATGTGTGCCAATTTTGAATGCCTCGGGCCTCTCTTAGCGGCTCTTGGTGCCATTGTTGGAGCCTCTCTTATGAGTCTCTTGGAGTCTCTTGGACTGTCTTCGAAGCCTCTTCGGCACTCCCTGCGTAGAAAGCAAGCTTTCGGATCCTTTGCTCCCCAACGCTCCTCCGACGACCCAAGACCAGCCGAGAAGCCCCGCGACCTAAGAAGGCTCCAAGATGATGCCGAGACACCTCCGGGCGGCCACGTCTCCCCCAGACGCCTCAAGCGGGGGCAGAGGGCACAAGCAAGAGACCTGCAGCAGCCCCAGGCCCAGGGAAGGCCGAATGGCCAGGGTTGCACCAGCAGGCTTTCAACTTATGTTTGCCGGCGTCGACCCCAAACACCAATGTGCAGCCCATGGTGCTGCAATAGCTGCCATGCAAGACTTGTGATGCACTGTGTGCGGTGCAAGCCCTAGGTACGGTGCAAGCTGTGCGGTACTATCACTGCGGTCCGAGCCAGGTGGCGCAAGCTTTATGTCGGGCGTGTCCCCCTTACAAGGGGATTGTCGACGAAAAATAAGAATACCCCCAAAATGTCCCAAAAAAGTCAACAAAATACCCCAAAAATGATCCCCAGTCTATTTTTTGATTTTTTTTGGGGTATTTTTGATTTTTCGTCGAAGATCCCCCTGTAGGGCTGTGCGGTACAAGCTGTGCGGCGTAGCCGAAGCGCCTGCGAGTGCACCAGGCGCCCACCGAGGCGCCCGCGGCTGCCCGCGGGCGTCCACCGGGCGACAAGTTGAACGCCCGGCCAGGACGAGGCGCCCGGCGAAGAGCCCGCGGGCGCCCCCCAGGCGAAGACCTAAAACGTCCGGCCAGTTCCCTGTGACACAAATGGGAGCCCCTTACTGCAAGCACTGTCAGGAGAGTCCTCCAGAGGGCCACTGGGAAGCCCAAACATGGCTTCTGCCCGTCACCCCTTGCCTCCTCAAGAGGCCGCTCAAATCCCCAAGATCCCCGCAAGAAATCTCAAACGTCCCAAAGACAATCACAATATTGGCCCAGCCAGGCCCGATGCACCCCTGGGATCGCCCAGGACCCCCACAACACATCCCTCACGCTGTCCAAGACGGGCCCGTGATGGCCCCAAGGCGTCATGTGGAGAGCCCCCGAGGCGCAGGCGAACCAACCGTTGGGGGGGGGGAGGGGGGGGCTGAGATCTGGGCGGCGCGAGCGTGCGCTTGATTCTCCCACCCCCAGCGATCCTGATGCGAGGGCGGGACGCGTGCGCGCGATACCCTGGCAGCGCCCTCCTCCCCTCCGCTCCCCCCTCCGCCGCGGGGGCGGGCGCGGACCGCCCAGGGATTTTTCGATGCGCCGAGGTCCTTCGCGGTGTCCCTGCCGCCCGAGAACGCGTACCTGCCGGCACGCAGGCCCGAGCGAGCGTGGAAACGGCATGTGGTCAGGGCCAGGGCCGCGCTAACGGCGATGCGGGTCAACGGCGATGCCGGGAGTCGGATTTTTGTGACACCGGGCTCGCGCAGAATAAACGGTAGGACATCACGAACCACACTGTCCTACATGTCAAATGTGCGAATGTATCGAGAGAGGGCGACGCAGTGACTTGTACAGGAAAGCGCGAGCCACAATGTCCTACATCACGAGCCAGTCCCACCTACAATGCCGAAACGTACATCGCCGTTACCTACGTTGCCGTCAGCGCGACTGCGGCAAGTGGCCAGACAAGCAGAGCAGACGCGGGGCCTTGCTCGTGTCGTGCCGGTCGGTGCCCCGCAGCTGGCAGCGGCGAAGGAGAGAACGTCATGGAGCGAGCGGGAGCCACCGCCGACAGACGAGCAGGCCAGAACAAAAAGGTCGCTGATGCCTCTTCGGCTAATCTTAGGTCGGGCATGTCCTCCTACAGGCGGATTTTGGAAGAAAAATAAAACATAGTCAAACATTCCGCCGACGATCCGGCGTGCGAGTTTCTGAGAGCGTGGGCTTGAGCTCGCTCAAGCTTCGCTCTGGAGGGGGGGGGACTTTCTTTCCGGCTACTTTCCGACCTTTTTCATTGACTGCAATGAGGTCTCTTCAACCTCCCCCTCCCGCTCCCCCCGGGGGGGGGGAGGCGGGGTTCTCTTCACCACCCCCTCCCGCTCCCCCCCTCTCAATCTTCCCCGTCTCCTCCCCCCCCTCCTCTCCCCTCTCCACTTCTGGGAGGCCCTCCCCCCCCCCCCCCCCCCCTCCGCCTTTCCCCCTTCACTTCCCTTCCCCCCCTCCCCGCTGCAGAGCGAAGCTTGAGCGATCTCGCAAGAAGGGAGAGGGGGCAAGCTTCGCTCTGCAGCCACCCCCCCCTTCTTCGCTCTGCAGCCTCCTCCCTCCCCCCCCCCTCTCAATTTTCCCCCCCCCCCTCCTCCTGATCTATTCTACTTCGGGGAGGCCCCCTCCCCCTCCCCTGGCCCCCCCCAACGCCGGACCCCTTCCCCGGGGCCGGGAGGCCGCATGCCCACTCCGCAACGCCAGACCCCTCCTCCTCTCCGGTGAGGCCCGCTGCCGGCAGCCCGGTGCCAGCCCCCCCTCCCTGCTGGCCCCCGCGGGTGCCGCCTCCCCCCCCCCGGCCCCGCCCCCTGCTGGGGCCGGCCCCCCCCCCTCCCCTCCGGTGCCGGCCCCCACCCTCCCTGGTGCCGACCTCCGACCCCCCAATGCGGGCCCCCCCCCCCTCCCGGTGCCGGCCCCCCCCCCCCCGGTGCCGGCACCCGACGCCATGCCGGCACCCCTCTCCCGGTGCCAGCACCTCCCCCGGTGCTGGAACCTCCCCCCCCCATTGCCGGAACTTCCCCCCCTCGGGTGCCGCACGGGGGCTCGGTGCCGGCACCCCCCATGAACGTGTGCCGGCACCAAGGGCTCGGTGCCGGCCCCCGCCGATACTGCCCCGCGCTTAGCTCAAAGCCAAAAAGTTGCAAGCGCTCCTCGTTACGATCCGCCCTCCCCCTTCTCCCCCCCCTCCCTGCTACTCCTTTTCTTGCCTCCTCATTATCCACCTCCTGTGTCTCGCCCCCTCAAGCGACTGGTCATAAAGGCAGTGGGCGTCGCTGTAAGAACTTCCTGCCGTGCTCTCATAAAAAACGGGCAACCTGGCTGCTTTTCTTTCATCTCGTACGATGATATCACACGTTCGCTTGCCCCTGGAGGGCCAACGCATTCCAGCCAGCTCACGCCGCGCCGCCGATTTCTCCATTGGTGGCCCTGTCTCCAGCTCGCTCGGGATGTGTCAGCTTCTCGCAGCGGCACTTTTCAATCCTCCTTCCTCCCTCATCCTTCCTCTGTGCTTGCTCATTTTCCCCGTCCGTCCTTTTCGAAACTGCGAACGAAATAGGCATTCGCGCCCCACGACAAGAGACGACGAATGGATGGCGGCCAAGGGGGCTCCTCTTGCCTCAGCGCACGGATGAATGAAACGAGCAACACCCTCGTGTGCAGAACTACCCCCTCGACGATAAAGCCACTGCGCTCGAATTTTGCTGGCCCCCTTGGGTGCGCAATCCTGTGAACCATGCTGCCGGGTTGCTGTCTTGTTTTCTGTGTGCTGCGGTCTTTTTTCGCATGTCTATGGTCTGCTCATTCCTGTCTCCATTCTACTGTTTCCTAGGGGGCCCGTGACTCCCCCAAAAAGCCACCTGGGGGTGTCCCTCAGAGCCCTGGTCGCTACGGGCTACCGCGGGATGCGCACAAGGAAGCCACCAGACAACCAAAAGAGCCCAAGGGGCATCTAAGACGGCTCCACGAGGCTCCGAAGAGGGCTTCATACGCCCAAGCGGCCGCAAATGGTCTCAAGATGACTATCATGTGGTCCTGGAGGTACCCAAGCTGCCCCCGAGAGAACAGACAACACTGAAGTGCCATAGTGCTGTCAATATTCTTGCCTGTCTCATGTTCTGCCTCTCGGACGGCAGTGACCCGACATGGCCCTAGTATGCCGAGAAGCCCCCAGCATATGGGCCACGAGGGCCCCAATGCAGCTCCTACCTTGCCCCAATAGGATGTCTCGAAGGCTGCCCCATAGGCCCCGGGATGCCTCCACGAGGCCCCCAAAGCGGCCCAAAAGCCGCTCCAGCAGCGCGGCCGCAGCATTGCTCCGCCGGGGGGCGGGCGGGACAGGGCGCGGCCCCTCCGATCCGCCCGCCCCCGCTGCCCTCAGCAACGGGGCGCTCAAGGCCTTCGCCGTGCCCCCAGGGAGCTCCCCCACGAGCCCCCAGCGCTCCCCCGAGAGGCCCCCCCCCCCCCCGACTGCCTCTCAGAGGCCTGCCGCGAGACCCAGAGACGCCTCCCAGAGATGCCTCCTGTCCGCGATCCAGGCGCAGTGGCGGGCTTGGCCGGAAACCAATCGATGCTCCAAAGAAGCCTCCACCTCGCGCAAGGATATAGCTGGCATGCACCGCGTCATGCATCCTGACACTGCGCTCTGCCTCGCCACGCTCCCAGGGGGTGGCAGGGGATGCGCCGATGGCATCCTCGATCCGCCGTCCCCGTTGTTTTCAACAAGGGTGTGCTCCGTGCTGCTGTGAGTGTTACACTCAGACAGCCTAGGCTTCGCTAAGGACTGATTTCCCCCTGAATCGACGGACACCCGTCCAAAACTCTCCGAAGAGCCTCCCAGCACCCTTCCCAGAGGGTCCTCGGAGGGCTTCGGGAGTGTTTCGGCTGTATTGACAGGAAGCCAGTCCCTAGCGAGCCCTGTATTTTTCGACATGTTGCACGCCAATTTGGTCCCTTTGACCCTTCAACGAAGTGTCCCCTCGAACCTGTCGCGCCCTGCCGCCGCTCCTGGCCGGACTCCGTGTCTCATCGGCTCTTCGGGCTTCCCTGGCCTCCAGGACGCCTCCGGGTCCGCCCAGGACGGTCCAGGCAGGCGCACGGTGGCCTCCGAGGCGCCTTCCAAGACGAGCGCGATGGCTCCAAGACGCCGCCGAGGTGGCCAAAAAGCACCCGGGAGGCTCCCAAGACGCCCGAAGAGGCCTCCGAGAGGCTCCCGAGAGGGCCTCCGAGTTGCAAGCAACGCGCAAAAGCCGCAGGGTTTCCTAACGCTTGTGGCTTCGGATGCCGACGGGCTGGACGACAGTGCCCACGAGATAATCCATGAGGGCCGCACGAGGCCCTCACGAGGGCCCACGATGGGCCAGGAGGCTCCCAGTGTGCCCCAGCATGACCCACGAGAGCATCGAGAGGCCCCCAAGTGGGCCCCAAGACGGTCCAAGAAGTCCCCGAGAAAGCCCCAAGTCCCCCAACATGGCCCAAGCAGGACCCTCCATGCCCCAGTAGAGCCCCAGAGTGGCCCATGATGCCCAGAGGGATCCCCCACAGGGCCAAGACAGCTCGGGGAACACACAAAGAAGGGCTGGGCGAACACAATGTTCAACGCCTTTTCACTCAAAACCCACTGTTCCATAATGGTTTTCCCCGCGGCTGCGGGAACACGCAATGCACTAGCGTGGCTCCACTTTCGATTGACATTTCACGACACATGCGTTTCCAATTGACAGGGGGCGGCGGTGACTCGCCGTAGGCGTCTTCGACAGCCCCTCGACTCTACAATCACTGCGCACTTGACCAGCAAAACACACCGTCAACCAGAAAATCGTCAACCTCTCGCTACACCAACGTGCGACTCGAAGAGGCCTTCGCGACGCTGGTGACACAAGGCCGTGCATAGCAAACTTACCACTGCGCGCGGAACATTAAACTGTGAAAACATGAAGCTGGTGTTTTTTCCAACCGTCCGGTGGTGTTGGGTCCTCGTTTTGAAGAGACAGCGCCCTGCGTCTCACTCCTCCTCCTCCCCCTCCTCTCCCGTCTGCCCTCTGCATCGCTCAACCATTTCCGCACACCTCTCACACGTTTCGTGGCACCAAAAGGAGCTCCACCGAAGGCCTCAGTCGCGGTGTTCGCATGCGCCCGCCGCACAAATTTTTGCACACGCCTCACATGTTTCGTGGCCCCATATGGAGCTCCACCGAAGGCCCCAGCGGCTACGTTCGCATGCACCCGTCCCGCACCAATTTCGGCACACCACTCACACGCTTCGTGCCCCCTAGGAAGCTCCACCGAAGGCCCCAGGGGCTGAATTCGCATGCGCCCGCCGCACCAATTTCGGCAAACCTCTCACACGTTTCGTGGCCACGTAAGCAGCTCCACCAGAGGCCTCAGTGGCTACGTTAGCAATGCGCCCGCCGCACCCAGTTCGGCACACCCCTCACACGCTTCGGGGCCCCATAGGGAGCGCTACCGAAGGCCCCAATGACTGCGTTCGCATGCGCCCGCCGTACCCATGTCGGCACACCCATCGCACGTTTCGTAGCCACATGCGTAGCTCCACCGAAGGCCCCAATGGCGGTGTTCGCATGCGCCCGTCCCGCCTGTTTCTGCACACCACTTACACTTTTCGTGGCTCTATAGGGAGCGCCACCGAAGGCCTCAGTGGCTACGTTGGCATGCGCCCGCCCCAACCATTTTCGGCTTACCCCTCACACGTTTCGTGGCCCCATAGGGGGCTCCACCGAAGGCCCCAGTGGCTACGTTGTTCGCATGCGCCCGCCGCACCCATTTCGGCAAACCTCTCACACGTTTCGTGGCCACATGAGGAGCTCTATCAGACGCCCCAGTGGCTACGTTGGCATGCGCCCGCCGCACCCATGTCGGCACACCACTCACACGCTTCGTGGCCCCATAGGAAGCTCCACCGAAGGCCCCAATGGCTGAATTCGCATGCGCCCGCCGCACCCATTTCGGCAAACCTCTCACACGTTTCGTGGCCACATAAGGAGCTCCACCGGAGGCCCCAGTGGCTACGTTGGCATGCGCCCGCCGCACCCAGTTCGGCGCACCCCTCACGCGTTTCGGAGCCCCATATGGAGCTTCACCGAAGGCCCCAATGGCAACGTTCGCATGCGCCCGCCGCACCCATTTTGGCAAACTACTCACACGTTTCGTAGCCCCACAAGCAGTTCCACCGAACATTCCAATGGCTGCGTTCGTATGCGCCCGCCGCACCCACGTCGGCACACCCCTCACGTGTTTCGTGGCCACATACGTAGCTCCACCGAAGGCCCCAATGGAGGTGTTCGCATGCGCCCGCCCTGCCTGTTTCGGCACACCACTCACACGTTTCGTGGCCCGATGGGGAGTGCCACTGAAGGCCGCAGTGGCTGCGTTCGCATGCGCCCGCCCCAAAACGTTTTCGGCTTACCCCTCACACGTGTCGTGGCCACATAAGGAGCTCCACCGGAGGCCCCAGTGGCTACGTGGGCATGCGCCCGCCGCACCCAGTTCGGCTTACCCCTCACGCGTTTCGGAGCCCCATATGGAGCTTCACCGAAGGCCCCAATGGCAACGTTCGCATGCGCCCGCCGCACCCATTTTGGCAAACTACTCACACGTTTCGTAGCCCCACAAGCAGTTCCACCGAACGTTCCAATGGCTGCGTTCGCATGCGCCCGCCGCACCAATGTCGGCACACCCCTCACGTGTTTCGTGGCCACATACGTAGCTCCACCGAAGGCCCCAGTGGCTGCGTTCGCATGCGCCCGCCCCAAAACGTTTTCGGCTTACCCCTCACACGTTTCGTGGCCCCACAACGAGCTCCACCAAAGGCTCCAGTGGTGGTGTTCACATGCGCCCGCCCCGCCTGTTTCGGTACGCCACTCACGCGTTTCGCGGCCCCGTAGGAAGCTCCACCGAAAGCCCCAGTGGCTGAATTCGCATGCGCCCGCCGCACCCATTTCGGCAAACCCCTCACACGTTTCGTGGTACCATAAGGAACTCCACAGGAACCCAGTGGCTGTGTTCGCACGCGCTCAAAGCGCCAATTTCGGTACATTGCGCACACGTTTTGTGGCCCCATAGGGAGCTTCACCGAAGACAGTACTCACAACTGCGTTATTCACAACTGCATAGAGTGGGTGGGCTCTTCGCCAGGCTAACTATTTTCACAGCGTTGTGCTCTGCGAGTGGCACGCACGGTTACCAAAGAAAAAAGGTGGATAACAATAACAAGCACCATCGGCAAGGGGAATCACCACTGCAGGGTGATAAAAGCGTGCCGAAGACTCGACCACCTGGTACGAATGAATAATCCAACGAGGGGGCCCTCTGCCTTAGGAGTTGAGGCTTCGATTACCACGAATACGACCTGGGACGCATTCAAAGCAAGGCTGCCGAGAACACCCACTACTCTTTCTCAATATAGCCAATCACATCTCGTAACATACAAACTGCCACCCATTCGAGTCAGAACCATAATCGCTAAACCGTGTTCGGCGAAGTAATGTCTGATCACATCAGCACCAATCCTATAGTAAACCTGATTGGATGCAACTTGCAACGGTGTCGCATACATTCGGGCACACCCTGGGCAAACGAGCCAACCTCTCACTGCGGACATTGACACATATACTTAGCAACAATACAGAGCAACGGCTCTTGGTCTCTTCTTCGCTTATGTGGTGTGGCGATGTACAACGGCATTCCACACGCGTTGATACGTGCTGGTATAGAGCGCGTTGGTGTGCGCTGGCGTGCTACAGTGTGCAAGTGGGTGCGGCGATTTTTGATTCATTGGGTACGCCTGGGTTGGAGCGGGACGCAAAGAAAGCATGACCTCTTGGCATTGGCTCGGAAACACGCTTCGCGTTGCGACCTCTTCGGGCGTCCATGCCTGCTGCCCCGCGGCGGGGCCCTCGCCGAGTCAGAGCACGGGCTGGGGAAAGCTGCTTGCTCGACGAGGCAGCTGGCCCAACGCCCTCGGCCACGCGGGGCCAGTGAGACGTGTCCGCCTCTCCCCAGCCGAGCGTGGCACGGAGTGAACTCCCGCTGGGGGGATAGGTCCCGACGCTTTTCAGCCTCAGCGCTAGGCGAACCTCAGGTACCCTGCATTTTGGGGAACACAAATCGGCGGCGAGCCAGGGGGGAATTGAGAAGGAGAATGCCTTCTCAGAAGGCGGCGGGACTGCTCAGAAGCCCTCGCGCCTTCCCAGAAGTTTCCTCTGTCTTCGAGGAATGCTCTGGACACTTCTCAGAAGGCTGGGGGACTTCCGAGCCTCCTGAGAAGGCCCGCCCCTCCTCACTTCCCCCGCTCGCTCGCCGCCGAACAAAAAGGCACCTATACCGCTGCTCCCCGGACCTCGCCCAGGCTGCGTTCTGACCAGGAGCTCGAAGCGAATTTCCAGCCGCGGAGACGAGGGCAGGGCAGCGGCATCGGAGTCTCGTCGGCCTCTGAATGCCCGTCTCAGGTGGCGCTGGGCCGCGAGAGGTGGGGGGGGCGGGGAGGGCCGCAGAAAGGCAGACCTGCAGGGCCCAGAAGGGCGCCTCAGGGGCCGGAAAAGCGCACCGTCTTCTTCCCTCCCCCCCCCACACTCCCCTGACCTTCCAGAGAGCTATCTTTTTAGCACTGGAGGCCCAACAACCCAAAACAACTGAGCGAAACAGCCTAAAACCAAGACGTATACGAGCTTTTGGGTAGGGTTTCGAGCCGGGTGCTATTTTTGAGCTCTCCTGGAAGGTCAGGGCACTCATCGCCCCCCCCCGTGGAGGCGCGCCCAACGGCAGAGAGAGGCGTCCGCACCGCCGGCGGACGCCGCCAGCAAAAGGCGCTCCTCGACGGCGGCCCTCGCCTCCGGGAACTCCGCCAGCAGGGCGGCGCGCTGCCCGTGCTCGAAGTCCTCGGCGTGCCGCGGCTGCGGCTCTGGCGACACGCCGTGCGCCCCACGAGCGGGCAGCGTGTCTCTCCGCTGCGCGGAGGAGGAGGAGGAGGAGGAGGAGGAGGAGGAGGAGGAGGAGGAGGAGGAGGAGGAGGAGGAGGAGGAAGGAGGAGGAGGAGGAGGAGAGAGGAGGAGGAGGAGGGAGGAGGAGGAGGAGGAGGAGGAGAGGAGGAGGAGGACGAGGAGGAGAAGGAGGAGGAGGAGGAGGAGGAGGGAGGAGGAGGAGGAGGAGGAGGAGGAGGAGGAGGATGAGGAGGAGGAGGAGGAGGGGGAGGCCAGGAGGCCAGGAAGCGCTCGGGCCCCCGACGCTCGGGCCCCCGTGGCGCCGAAGTGTGGCGTGGCCAGAACCGGCGGCGCGACGCGCGGAGCAGAAGTATCCCGGCCGCGGCCCTGCTCTCACCACCCCGCCCCCCTCCCCCACGGCATCGACCGCTCTGGACCTGCTTCAGGCTGCGCGTTCGAGCAAAACAATCTTACCTGGCGTGGCCAGAACCGGCGGCGCGACGCGCGGAGCAGAAGTATCCCGGCCGCGGCCCTGCTCTCACCACCCCGCCCCCCTCACCCACGGCCTCGACAGCTCAGATCGGGACAAAATCGGATCGGGGTAACTCGAAATCTCTGAAGATCGGCGGGTTCGGAGGATGCATTGGGCGCCGCGGCCGCTCCAGAGCGTTCCGGAACGCTCTGAGAGCGCTCCGGAACGCTCTGGAGCGATTTATCCCGATCCTAGCCCTGTTTTAGCCTTCTAGGGAGCCCACAAAGGACGTACGCGCCCAGCTATGTACCTGAACACGGCCCCTCGATTCGCGAGACCGGCCGCGTGATACGAGCATTTGTGCAATGCGTGCTCTCGAAACCAGCGTGGATTCATGTACATGTACGTCCTTCTTTCGCTCCTGATTCTTCAGGCTGCGCGCTCGAGCGAAATAATCTTACCTGGTGAGGAGGATGAAGCCTTATATACTCGCGCCCGTGCCAACTATGCCCGGCGCGACGTCGCGCGGTCGCGTTACGTTTCGGGCCATCCTACGAGCGCCAGATTGAAACTTGTGCGTGGTCCTACGCACCCTTTCGGATTCCTCCCTGCATTCCGTGCTGTTCATGTTTCCAGCACCCACGCTTCGTTACAACTCCTGGACGAATTGGTATGGAGAGGGAGATGGGGACACATTCCGACGCACCAGGGTTTGCTGTGAGTGGAGATGCAGCCTTTCTCCACCACCTGTCCCCTCTGGAGCGTATCCCCACCGTCCTCGCCCTGGACCAGCTCACGCTTACTCCCTCGTGGCTCCTGGAGTCTTTTCGGGCCTCAAGGCGGGCTTCATCTGCCACGATATGGCCCCGAGACGGCCCAAGATGGGCTGCATACCTGGACCATGCGCAGCAAGGTAGCCTCGAGACGGCCCAAGATGGCACCCAATATGGCCCAAGAGGGCTTCAAGAGGCTATCCAGCAGGACCCCAAGACGCAAGCACACATGATGTTCCAGACGTTTTGCGTGGTTGAGAAATGTTGTCGTTCTCGACTATTGGGGCTTCCGACAGACCAAGACGAGCCCGTGGGCTCCCCAAACGGCCCAAGAAAGCTCCCAAGAGGGTTCCAAGACGGCCCCAAGAATACTCCAGGACGGCCCAGAGAGGTCCCCAAGACGGTCTCCAGAGGCTTCAGACGGGCCAGCTACCGAAGACGACGACGCGGCGGGACATCAAACCCGGGGGGCGGGTCGGGCGGGCGGGTCGTCGTCGTCGTCGTCGTCGTGGTGGTGGTGGCGGTGGTCGTGGTCGTCGTCGCTTGCCAGCGCTGGACGGGGGGAGGGGAGGGAGGGGTTGAATCCCTCCTCCACTTGCGCCAGCGAGTGAAAATGCCCTTCCCGCGTCCTCCCCGCTTGTGGCTACCGGAACTGCCCCGCCCTTGGCGCAGGCCACCTCGGCGAGCCGGGATCTAGTTCCCCGAGGAGCAGGAGGAGGAGGAGGAGGAGGAGGAGGAGAAGGAGGAGGAGGAGGAGGAGGGAGGAGGAGGAGGAGAAGGAGGAGGAGGAGGGGCCTCTGGGCCCCAGTTTTGCCGGCCCGCTGCTCAGGCCCACGCGCTGTCGCTGTGCGACGGCGGGGCGTTGGACCCCCCCCCTCCGGGGGGGCGCTCCGCTCCACGGGGTCCAGGGCCAGAAGGGGGACTGCGACGAGCAGAGACGGAGGGGCGGAGGCAGATGCTCCTCCTCCTCCTCCTCCTCCGCCTTCTCCTCCTCCTCCTCCGCCTCCTTCTTCTCCTCCTCCTCCTCCTCCTCCTCCTCCTCCTCCTCCTCCTCCTCCTCCTCCTCCTCTCCCCCATCTTTCGTGCTCCGCTCCGCGCCGCCCCCGTCCCCTGGCGGTCCTCGATCTCGAAGGCCGGCCCGCACGTGCAGCCTGGGGTGCTCCAGAGGGGGGGGGGGCGACGGAGGAGGACGGAGGGGGGAGGAGGAGGAGGAGGAGGAGGAGGAGGAGGAGGAGGAGGAGGAGGAGGAGGAGGAGGAGGAGGAGGAGGTGGAGGAGGAGAGGAGGAGGAGGAGGAGGAGGGAGGAGGAGAGGAGGAAGAGGAGGAGGAGGAGGAAGTACGGTCATACCGTCACTCTCGTCGAAGAGTCGTGATCGCGGGATCGCTGGGCCACCAGGGTGCCCTGTGGTTGAAATGAGCAGGAGCGGGAGGGATGGGGGCGGGGGAGGGACGGAGGGAGGGGTGCGGATTGGGGGAGGGGACGGAGGGGAGTTGATGGGAGGGAGGGGATGGATGGGAGGCGAGGAGAGGGAGGGGGAGGGAAGGGGAGAGGGGGGGGGAGCGGGAGGGGAAAGAGGGCGGGGAGGAGCGGTGGTGCAACCGCTGCTCGTGGAGCACTCCTCCTGAAACAGCTAGGAGCATGTGGAGGAGTGCTGATGGATACGTTCTTCCTGATTATGACAACGCCCCTCCAAGCCAGGGGGATCCGAGGATGGGCGAAGATGAGAAGAAGGCCGTGGATATGGAAACCTCGACCAACTCTGTAAAAGGGTGGCTGCAATAACATACTTGATTCGGGAGTCCCCTCGGGGTCTAATTTCCAGCTCCGCCATCTGACCGCAGCAGGTCCAACTACGCTGCTGATCCACACCCCGCACTCACAACTTTCCCCACTAATACCTGCTCTCTCAGCACCTGCTTTCGTCCCCCTGTCGTTCGTCCACCCTATCTGGAGGAATGAAAAGCCGCCCCTACCCTGGGTTACAAGTGCGTGGTCAGTAAACCTCCTGGGAGCTCCCACAGGCCAAAGAGCCGCCAGGACGCCGCGCGACACGGAGGTTCAGCGCACAGCGCCCCGTAAACCAGGGTAGGGGCGTTTTTTTTTTTACGCCCTTGACGATATTTGCAACGGCCCAGGCAGCCCACCAGTGCGAAGTCGCCCTCCTGGTAGGCACCGAACCACGTTCCCGCCGGGACTGTGTGTTGTGGACAGAGGCCCTCCGACACGCAGCCCAAGCGCGTCTGCCTGTGCTGTCCAGGGGTATTGCGGTCGAGCTCGACGATCACCACGGGGGATCCATGGTAAAAATGCCAAACCTCATCCATCTTCAATCTGTGCAGGGATGAGAACGTCGTCCTGGAATTTGGGGAGTTGAAACCGAATGGAGCAAGTGGCTCTCAACCAGCATGGGGTACCCCAACATGTAAGACTGGCTGGTATCGCGTTCAACACTGCAACTACGCGTTGTTCTCCCTCACCGAAGCAGTAATCATTCCTCTCGTCATATCCTCGTACAGAAAAGCGCACGATGCGACATACTAGCTCTGGTGCTCGCATTACCCTGTGCAACAGGGCGCCTTTGCTTCGGTATGCTAGACAACTTCTGGACATACTGATCCTTACTTGGTGGAGGTCGCATTTTCGCCTTCTCCTGTACACTCGGCTGCTTTACTCTATGATTGCTACCCTGGTGAAGTAACTTCCGATCCCTGCCCTTTCCTGATATACATCGCTCCTCGCGTATGTCCAGTGTGGCTCAATGTGCTGCGCAAACATCCAAGCCAAAATATTGGTGCCCCCCGTCCTCGTCATAAGGTAGAGGATCGCGTTTATACTTCGACGCTCTCCGTATGGTGCAGTGGTAGACATTGCCGAATAATGCGTCCGCCGGTAGAAACCGACGAGTGAGGACAGAGGCAAAATGACAACAACACAGCCGATAAGAACAATCTGTCATATCGCACGGCCTGTTCGACGCTGTGGGTCGGCTCGGTCAGGGAATTCAGAAACTCACGATGCAAACCTCATGGAACACGGCACGCCCCCACTTCTCCCCAGGTGGCAGGGCAGAGCGGAAGAGCCAAAACGGATGGCTTTGCTAATCGCGCTTCTGGAAAGCCCCAGCTTCGCACGACAACCTATCCCTAGCCCCTCACGCGATCTCTGCCAACGCTCACTGGACGGCTTGGAACCACCGCCTGTCGTTACCCCGCCGGTTTTTGAATCACAGCTTGGCTCTCTTACGGCCGTTCGGGACGAGTCGGGAACCTCCGAAACGTTCTCGGCGAGGCGCAACTGCTGGAGAGCATCCCGAAGCTGGAATGCCGCCGACCACCGACGAAGACGCCCGTAAACCACGACCCGAAACATCCATCTTCGATCTTAGATCACCCCTCTCGGAGCACGGCGAGTTGGCACAACAGCATCAGGAGTGCATCCCGAAGCTTCAAAACCACCGGCGACGGAAAACCAGGCGCCTCGGCGATGCCTGGGACGTCCGCCGCCCCGAGAGCGCCCAAGACCAAAGCTGGCGCAAAAGGTGGTGTGGAAGTCACGCGCCTCGCGGGTGCCGAGGCAGCCCTGGCGCCGCTCTTTTCTGGCGCGAGGTCCTGTGCGGCCAAGGCCGTCTGCAAGGCCAGCGGCGGCTGGGGGCACTGACCCGGCAGGCCGAGGGGGAGGATGAGGAGGAGGAGAGCGGAGGGTGGTGATGGCGGCGGCGGCGCTCGAAGTGGGCAGCACGGGTGGGAGAGAAGCCGAGCGGGAGCAGGAGGAGGGGGGAGAGAGGGAGGAGGAGGAGGAGGAGGAGGAGGAGGAGGAGGAGGAGGAGGAGGAGGAGGAGGAGGAGGAGGAGGAGGAGGAGGAGGAGGAGAGGAGGAGGAGGAGAGGAGGAGGAGGAGGAGGAGGAGGAGGAGGAGGAGAGGAGGAGGAGGAGGAGGAGGAGGAGGAGGAGGAGGGAGGAGGAGGAGGAGGAGGAGGAGGAGAGGAGGAGGAGGAGGAGGAGGAGGAGGAGGAGGAGAGGAGGAGGAGGAGGAGGAGGAGGAGGAGGAGGAGGAGGAGGAGGAGGAGGAGGAGGAGGAGGAGGAGGAGGAGGAGGAGGAGGGGGGAGGAGGAGGAGGAGGAGGAGGAGGAGGAGGAGGAGGAGGAGGAGGAGGAGGAGGAGGAGGAGGAGGAGGAGGAGGACTTACAGCCGTCGCGTAGCGAAACATAGCAATCCACCACTGAAGCCCTTGCTCCAGTATCTGACTTCTTCAGCTCCTTGGCCTTAGGATGTAATTCCCTGGCGAACCTATCTAAGTACTTCCTCCTGATCTTGGCGACGGGGAGCCCAAGCCTCGGATCTGCGACTGACCAGAGTACCCTCAAACTTCGCAAAACGGAAGGCTCATCAAGCTCTGGTGACGGGTGAAGGCATGCGAAGGGTGATGTCAGTCTCCAACGATAGGCAAACGACACCCACTCCGAACCCGAGACACCCTATTCTCAACATATTCAAATTCGTGGCATGGGCTTTTTCAGGAGCTCAGTCATTGCTGCAGCCGGCGCGGAACCTTGATACAGCATGCAGATTTCTCCGAATCGGTCAGTCGATGGGCAGTCGCGAAACGACTCACAGAGGGCAGGGGCAAGAGGGCGAGGAGGAGGAAGGACGACCTGCGGAGCCTCGGGCGCTCCGTCCTCGCCGCCGTGGCGCGCCGCCTGCAGCCTCGCGCTGGCTGGCTTATGGCGCCGCCTCCTTCTTAAGCTCGTTCTCGCTGCGGATCGTGAGCAGCGCCGCTCTCAGCAGTCGCAGCCCGACAGACACGCGCACCTGTGCAGCTGCCACCCCAGCGAGATGATCTGCCAGGCGGCTCGCCCTTGGCTCGTGAGGGTCTTCCCTTTTTTCTCTCCTCAGATCGCTGCATTCGCGCCAATCGGGCTGAAATGCAACTGTGACCACCAACCTCTGGCTACCTCCGCGCAGTCGGTGACACAGACACGCGTCCCAATGGATAACCTGATGGCCAGCTCGAAAGCCGCGTGCTCCCCTGTGGGCGCCGTCTGCACCAAGTCTGAGGGCCCTCCGAAAATATAAGGGCCTAGCGTGAAGGGCGCGAAGCACATGACAATGCAGATGGCTAAACCCACGCGCCTCAAGCGAGACTCGTGGGTGTCCACCCCGTCTGAAACATCGCCAACACAAAACAAAAACTGCGACGCCGTACCGTGACCAATGCATCCGTCCCCAATCAGGCCTCCATGCGGGCGAAACTCAGACCGTAGCTTTTGAGTACAATGGGGAATCGCCACCGTCCAATGAGCTGGAACGACCCCCAGAAACACACATGGGCCTCGTGGTCTGTCATCGCTTCTGGTAGCAAGCGGTCTGACTCCTGAAACGCTTTGCCACCTACAGTGCGTGAGCACAGCCAATTCCTGTGGATGCCTGGCTCGAGAACCAAAGAACATCTATCACAAATATCGATATCGCAAGTATTCATTGCAAACTTCCGCGCTGTGGTCCCCGCGCCGCCGACTGCAATCGTCAACATCAATTCGTCCATCTGGCGTCTTGTATACGCGTGCTGGAGACTACATCCCCAAGTCGATTTGTTTTTCCTCTTGGGCCCGGAACGACGGCTTCAAGGCTTGAGCAGAAGCGTATGAGATAACCGCCGTTGGACCGTCGGATCCCAAGAAGTCCGCGCGGATCCACTTGTGACACGCGGGTTTTGTGTTGGTGGATCCGATTTCAGTCCGCGCGGATCCGATTTCCGATTTTCTCGATCCGTGTTCGGTCTTTTTTCTCGGCGGATTCGATTTCTACGCCGTTTTAAATTTATGATATTGAATTTAAGCGGGAAGCCGGGCGAAATCGGATCCGCGGACCGCAGTACCCGCACGTGTTATGATTCTAGGGGGGAAGGGGCTTCGGCCATTCAATTCCCAAGATAGATCCTCAATTCAACTGTCTCGCGTGCTCCCTTTAACTTTCCGCGCACGCGGGCCCCACTTAACGTGAATGTATATCTGTCCTCCAGCTGCTGCGCGCAACTCGTCCAGATGCCGTTCGTTCGGCGGCGCCGATGTTAGCTGTTCAACTCATCATCGCCACGTGCACCTCAAGAGGAAAATCTTTCGCCCTGCGTGAATCTGAATAAACTTCCGCAAACTAAAAAGATCTGCGCCCTGCTGCACCCCAGGTGTAATCCAGCTGCTGCCGTCCTTCATTGCTGCACAGCCAAGCTGCCCTCGTACTCTTGAAAACAGCCATCCACTTGATCCGTGGCGCAGAGTTCGTCGTTGTAGAATTGCCACGCGTGCGTCTCTTGCCCCCCATCATTCGGGACCTCGCATTCAGTAGAAGAACGAGGATACCATCCCGCTTGTAGCTAATAGCACACCACTGTAGACACTGGGCCTCGAATGTGCCGAGACCTCCTGGCAGCTGGCAACTTGGCCATCTGATCCAATACCTGAGCCCACATGCGACTGACTCCTTTCCTGATGCTGGATTTGGTGATCCAGACCTCCAGCCGCTGCGAAAGACATTGCGCTGGTAACCGAATACCTGGGTCGGCTCCATCAGCGCGTGAGCCGAGCAATGTGGTGACTCGCCGACCTCGCCGCACCGCTCCGCAAGCAATTCCCGGCTGGCGCTTCTGACGAACCATGTCCGTGCCGAACTTCCCGTAGACCTGATGGCCGTAAGTCGCTGCAGGTTCATTGAGGTCCAGCACGCTCGATGCGAGCGGCGATCCCATGCCGTCGCGTCGTGGCCGCGAACCGTCGTAACTTGACACGCTGTAGCCCAACTTTGGCAACTCTCTTGCGCGCTGCGTCGCGCGCCTGCTGTTCCCCGTTGCACATATCAACTCCCGCGTGAGCTGATTGCAGTGCTGTGGTATCAATGCCGCGTCTCTGTAACATGAAATACGCGCCACCAGCTTCGCATCACTGTGCGAAGAAGACATCGCCGCGCTCTTGGAAACAACGCTCAATGAATATTGTTTGAACTCATGAACTGTGTCCGTGATGCACTCAGTGAGGCCCCGACGACCTTGCTTGTGCGAACCGACCGTTCGCTAGGCCAAGTCGTCGATCCATATCCACTCGGACATCCTGGGGTGCGCGATGCGCAACTTCTCGAGCGCGAAATAAGTGAGGCATCTCTCAAAGCATGTGCCTCTCGTGGCCATTTACCTATGTTCCGCGCCACCTGCATTGGCAGCCAGAAAGAATTGAACTGCGAAGATACACGTGGCGCAAGACAAGTCTGCATCTCCAAGAGTTACATCATTGGATGGGACTCCCATCTCTCCGCCATGTCAGCCAAGCTATGAAACTCTGTGCTGTCATAGAACGGGTCTAGAATCAGCGAAGCTTCCGCATGAACTATGTTAAGTATCGCGCAGCCCTCTGACGAGTGCTCCTCGAAGGGAGCTGTTGCCTGCCGCGGCAGCGTCCTACCGTGGAGTGGATGATTCCGACCGCTCCTTGGTGTGCGGGTCGCGCGCCCAGCTCCGCGGCCTGCTGACCATCGAGAAAAGAACAAGCATGCGATCTCCTCCACATGTTTTCGCAAACAATCTCCCACCTACGACCGTGAGCTGCAGTGGTCATGGCAACCGTTCCTCGTTAAACTGATAAAGTTGACGCAACTGATCCAATCCTTCATCTGGAGAGCGCTCGAAATCCAGCGGGCAGCACTGGTCGCAGCGCAATCCTGCACTAGGTTATATGCGCGCAAGTGCCCTTTGAAGATCGGAGACAGCGAGCGGAACCAATTGCTCGAGCTCGGCGCGATCCCGCGCTGATTCCATAGCACCGCAAATACGACCGAAGTCAAGGTTAAGAGATTTCCACTTCGCGGAACAGGTCTCGGCCTCCCGATCCACGAAGTCGACGGGATGGGCGGGCTCATTCTCTGGCGGGGTGAACTTCAATTACTTCCACTGGCGATTGCTTGATACTCTTGTGTAAGATGCCCAAAGCTCCAGTCGTTCCGATCTAATCTCGGAATTCCTTGAAGAGACTGCTGAGTAGCCCGAACTCGGCCCCGCTTGACACCTCTATCAGTGAGCCAACAACTCAGGATGGTCAAACGCGTCCAGCCGCCTAGCCTGCGCCACCAAAGAGTCCCATGCACCGAAGCCCGCTGGCAATAAAACGTGCACTCAGGCCCGGGCTGTATCGGTCAACGTCCGAGCACTCTCAGCCAACTGTCTGATCTGCTCCTCGCCGTTGTTCCTTCTCTCGTAGTGCTCGGTGCGCTGGGCGAGCACGTGCATGCGCGCCCGCCGGGAAGCGCGATTGTCGCGGAGAGGCTGGCCCCGACGATAACCCGCATTGCGAGCAGCCCCCAGCTGCCGCTTGGGACCTGCCGCCCAGGGGAGGGGGGAGAGGGGGCGGGGGAGGAGGAGGCGCAGCGTTCCTCGCGTGTCCTTGTCCGATCAGCTCTGGCCCCTTCGACGTGCAACGATTTGTCGTCGGGGCGCTCCAGCGTCTAACCGGATCCTCGGGCGGCCGCGCAGGAGGAACCTGGTCGCGACGCGAACGGCGGAGGGAAGGGCGTCTGCCTCTGCCCGAGAGAGTTCGCGCGG